AAGATAAGGTGTCGGGACAAATTTTGTTTTTCATTTTATAGTATGTAAAATAAGCTTTAATTTGGCATATATTTAACCCTTCGTTAGTCACCACGGGGTATTTTAATACCCCAGGCATATTAAAAACGTTTTCTTTTGTTTGGTGGTAAAATTATATTCATCTCCTAATCGTGAAATATTTAAAAAATATAGCTTTCAACTATTAAAATATCAAATACACATATATTCAAAACATATTAGCAAAAAATAAAAATAAATTCTATGAAATAATTAATTTAAAGTATGGGGTATTATAATACCCCGGGTGACTAAGATTGTTCTAATCGTTAAGGTGACTAACGAAGGGTTAAAGAACGCAGTATTTCTGGAACATTTTCAAAAATTAATACCTTCTCGGCTTTGTATCGAAGCAAAAATACGATTTTTGTAAAAAAAATCTTTTTTTTATTTTTAACTTTATAATTCTATAACTTTTTGAAAGATGTATCGATCAATATATTTCTTTTTTTTATAGATGCTTGATGTCTCTAACTATCATTTGGTATATTTTTTTTATAAATGTGATCCTTTACCTGCCTACAAGGGGAGATTTAAAATGACAACTTTTTCACAAAATATTACCTTATTCAACTTAACTTTTGAAAGTGTTCCAGAAATACTGGCACTTTTATATATATCTTAAATTAAAGCTTATGTATTATACTTTATTATGGAAAAATAAAATTTCGGACTTCATTTTGTCTTCACGTTGAAAATGGCTACCGTATACTATTTTTGTGTTAAAATTCTTGATTTTATATTTTACATTTTTAACTTTATAATGCTATAACTTATTGAAAAATGTATGGAACTAGCAGATCATGTAGTTTTTGGAATAATCCACCAATATTTTTAAAATTAAACACTATCAAAAGATGTGCATTGAAGCCTTTTTTTTTTTTATTGTAATTTTAATCACTGTCAAATATTATTATACTTGATCCAACTATGCTACGCCACCACTGTGCCGCAACCCTCCTGTGTTCAGTTTCTTATTATTACACATATATAGTGCATGACTTACGACTTCACTTGCTTTGATAGATGGACTTGTAGATAGATGATAAAATGTGATGTTCCTTGTTGACATCGATATTTTAAGTTAATTTAAATAAATAAAAATACCGATATGAGGAGCAGCATACTGAATTTATTTCTATGATTTGAATTAATTATTTTAACAAATATGTAAGACTTATAATTAAGGTTAATAAAAGTAACATGAATTTTACATTATTAACTTTAATATGAAAGAATAAAAGTATGCGGGTATAATTAGTGAGAATGAACTGAGAGTGAACTGGTGTGCTAATTTTCCTAGCCATTTTATATTAAACTAGTTGGTAAGGTGATGAAGGGAAGCTAGTTTTTCTTAAGAATTTAACTATTTTATCCTGTCGTCTGTTCTACGCCACAAACATGCTTATGGTAACTAAAAAGATTAACATTAATGTAAACATTGCTCCGAATGAGCGATATATTTGTAAAAAGTAATAAAATAATTTTCGGTCAGAAAAGTATTTAAAATTGATAATTATTTTTGTGGAAAAATTATATTAGAAGTTTTTCAAAACTTCTATTTTGATTCATTACATAACTGATAATGCCACTCGCACAACCACCACCGGTTGTACAAGAGAAGCATAATGCTGTATGATCACGTAAGCGATCGTTGTACATCGAATTACTGTAAGTCCTTTTGTGAATTTTGTGTTCTCGCCACCATTATTAGTTCTTGCTACGTAGTTCTATGGTACGCCTAGCTCATAGTTGTTTCAATACATTTATCACCCTTGTGATTGGCTGTGATCATACAATTTCTATAACAATCTATGGCATTGTGCGTCTTTTGTGTACATAAAAAGTAACTCCGTTTGTATGTGCGCTATATATTTTATTGTTTTGTTTTACAAATTTGTTGTGCCATGGCTTCCTCGAGCTTTCGTACCTGTGCACGCCATAAGTGTTCGGCCCTGTCCATATCTGAAGTATTTACTTATTGAGCAACTACCATTATAGTCTTCAACACGTCTTCAACATTTAAACGCAAAAGTATTCATACTGTCCACTTCTCATTACCATCATTCATCTATTGCACGTTACACAGTTAAGTCTTTAATTGTTTGTATATAATAGTATATTATATTTTATCTATTTTGATAAAGCTGCCTTGTCGGCCATTTTAGTATTAAGTGAGCCCTCTATCCACAATTTTATAATTTTTTATATTTCTTGCTATTTTAATATGTAATATAGGTCATTATTTTATAAAACTGAAAACAAAGTATTTTTGTAATGTTTGGTTTAACTATAAATTTCTTGATCTATAATTACAAAAATATAATATAGTCTATTATTTGTAAACCTAGAAGTAGAACACTTATGTAATGTTTAGATTACTTGTAATTCTCCAAATTATTGTTACTAGACCAAGAAGTAAATATTTATAAACCTTTTTGAAAATGATTACTATATGAATTTTATAAAAAGACAAACAAAATATTTTAGTATATAAGATGAAATGGAATGAATTAAAAAGGGGGAGAAAGAGAAGACCTCGGGAGTACCGAAGGTAATCACTTACCGTGTGGTACGTTTGTGACATTAAGTTTTTATTTTGGTGTATTATTTATTTATCCTTTTTTAAGTGTATCAATATTTTATATGTTTTATTTTGATTGATTATATCTTTATTAACTATATTTTGCGTTATTATTGAACTACTATAACTATAAGTTAGAACAAAAAGATTGTTCCATATTGAAATACAACAAAGTTCCACATATTTAAATACAACAAATATATAATCTTTGTTTTTCAATCCTTAAAATTTTAACTAGTGTAAGTACCATCCTCAATCGCTTATACCGTCCACTCCGTATTTCTTTCTTCTGCATGATCATAGACAACGAAACGAACGTTAACTATCCCGTACGAGTATTATTGAGCATCCCGTTAAAACAATTACAGACACAAAAAAAAACATAGTATAATAAATATCTTGACAGCTTCGCATCAAACATAATAAGGTTCTTAAGTTTAGTTAGTCGGTTTAGATGAAATCGAATAAAGAATTAAATACTCTGAAAAAACTTGCTACAATCAAGTCGAATTTCGAACAAGATTTGTATAAATTGATGGTAATTAGTATACAAAGGAGAAGTGAAGAAAATCTTGAAAAGTGTATAGACGTCAACATTTTACCATAAAAAATTTTTTAACAATTAACAAAGCAAAATTCTATTTTATTTTCACTGTCAATAAAACGTTCAGAAATTTGAAGTACAATTGTCAAGTAAAAATATAAAACATCTAATTACTTATTTATTTACTTACTTATTTGAAATATCTTATATTGACAATAATTAATAATTAAATATAACAATATAATGTAAGAAATTTTTAATTCATACAATTAAAATTATAAATATACTAAATTGGGGACATCGCTTCCATACTAATTTGATATTAATTATCTAATTATTCTACTCTACTGTGTTTATTTGTTTTT